TTTCCACCAGCGCGGCAATCTTTTTTCATCACTAATTGATGGATGTCTAAAATATAAAAATAAGGAGAAGGCTAAAACAGGCCCGAGGCCCTGCCCGCGTCTGAACTATGATGTAAAAATTGTCCCGAAGCCCAGCCCAAGGGGCGTAAAAAAGTCGAGGCCCATCGGGCCCGGGCTGAAATGCAGGGCTCTAGCTCTGATCTAGCACACAGAAAACGATTTGACTGAAAATGTATCAGAAGAGATGAAAGAAAGAGAGTGGTCACCTAGCAATTCGGAAAAAGAGGCGGCTTTTCTGCATTAGGTATGTTTTTTTTGTTTTTTTTAACTCTTTGTACAGCAGTTATTGTTCATTCTAAATTTATTTTTTAATGTAGAATATGTGTTACATAAATACATGAAATGTAGAACATAAAAAAGTGCTCGTACGTGGCTCGTCTACCAGTGGGTGCCCCCCCCCACGCATAAAAGTGAAACTCCGCCTATGCCTCTTGAAACTCTTGTTTGAGTTATATATATATATATATATATACACATATAAGTTTCTCCCCAAGGTCTTATAGCCAACACAATACTGTACTGCAGAAAATGTTGACTACAAGTACCACAAACGTTCTACAAATTAATTTAAATTAAGAAAAAAAAGAAAAAAAAGTTCATCATAGAAGTCATTTTTGAACTAATTGCATTTTTTGTGTTATTTTGAATAACTTCATCGATTAACAGACAAAACCAGCGTCATTGACCCATAAACATATGCTCACACTCATTCTCCCTCTCTCTCACTCTCTCTCACTCACACACACACACATACATACATATATACTTGTGTGGCAGTGGAAATGTGAGAAATATAGTGTCTCTCACCCCAAGCGACTGTAGCGGCAGCACCAGTAGCAGCTTGTGAATGGTCCCCGCCTCTCCGGGGAGTTTCCTCCACGGGGAACTTTTGCTTTATGTGCAGCACCTGTTGTGTCGCCAGTCGGCCGTCTGCGCTCGCCAAACACTCGGAGCCACCTCAAGACACTAATTTCCTTCAGAAAGTTGTACGCGCAACGCTGCAAGTGCCATTTTACCCAGAGTCGGTCGCTATGTGTTGCGTTACTCGAATGGACTATCTGTGTTTGCAAGGGAAAGTCGAGCACTTTGCAAACAGACAAACGCATGTTTGGCGTCTCAGCAGATCTTAATTTACAGCCAGTAAACGTTTCCAACTGTCCTCTTGAACATTCGTGTTTAGGCGAAGTGTGCGCTCACTAAGTTAACAACAATTAATGCTTAACTTTGCGCAGATGCTCCTCGGGAAACTTTCCAAAGAGAGGTTTTCGCAGTAGAAACTCTGGCCGATCAGGATTATGTGGACTTTACTTTACGCGTGCCTGTGTCCAAAGTTGGATACGCGTCTCACGAACAATATTTCTGCATGGTGATTGAAACGACACATACCAAGTGCCTATAAGCACCGACAGCCACCATTTATCCAAATGATTCCTTTGCTTCTCTTGATTCTTATATCGTCTCTTCATCAGCATGAGTCGGTGGCGGAATCGAGTCACATCAGTAAGATTCACCACGCCAGCACGAAAGAGCAGAATGGTAAGTTAAAAAACTCATATGATTTTCTTTTTCTTCTCTTGGATTGTGTGGAACTTCTGATGGTGCTTTACAACTAAATGCATTGAGTTTACCTGTGCAATGGCAAGTCTTTTTAACATTTGTTCTTTAAAACAAAAGTTTTTTTATTGTACTACTGAAAATATAATTTCATATTTATCTCAAGTATTTATTATATACGTTTCTATGATGTAAGTAGTAAAGCTGGAATACATACTATTGGGATTGTAGTAAAACTAAAGTAGTAAAGTAGTAAAACTAATCCAGCTGCAGTTAGAATACATGCTAGTGATTGGTGATATCTAACCCACGTGTCCCCTAGAAAATTCAGTTTGTTAGCATAGATACTAATAGTAAAGGAACAAATACTAAAATCTGATAAGATTTTAAGTAGCCTATTACCATTCAAGTAAACTACTTGATTGACTAGTCTCTGTTGGAATAATTAACAGCACTAGTATCTAATACATAATTGGTGATATACCAAATATTACATTGACTATTGTTGTACATATTAATGTAAGGAATAGTAATTAATAGAATAGGTAACAGAAACAGAATTCAAAGGAGTAAATGTTTAAACAGCTTGCCATAAATGGCTACAATTTAAGAGGTTCACACAGCATTATGCTTAATAGGAAGTTGAAGTTACCTTTGGCTTTCATGTGCATGAAACGCACATCTGTATGTGTATTTAAGAGGAAAACAATCTCCGGGTAACGGGGTCCCCTGGGGAGGGATTTCTCTCTGATAGTAGAAAGACTCCATTCATGGAGTGTGGGGTGCCCCGGGGCCATGTAATTTGCTTTCCTCTGGATCCCACCAAAACTCACAGGTGAACTTAAAAAAAAAAAAAATTCATAATGATAAATAAAATAAAGCAAAAGTTTCCATTTAATTTTGCTCTGAAACTATAAGCTCAGTGTTGTAAAGCAGGCATTGGTGGGGACAGGCAAACTGTCGCCCATTGCGCACCATTAACAAAATGTAAACTACTACTTGTGTTGACTTAGGCGAGGGAGCGCCCCTTACTGTGTCAGGGGTGAAGCAGAGTGGAAACATCTTGCTTCTCTGGGCCCACTATCAGAGCTTTCATTGTAATATCATTCTTTCTCTAAACTGTGGAACATGCAGAATATGTCTACTGGAAAGCAATGTTTATATGGAAAATATATACTTTTTTTTTTGTTAGTAACCATAAACATATGAAATCTTTCTAGTTCCATGTATATATATATATTTGAAAAGTAACTTCTGTATAACTTGGGACTGTAAAAAATCCTAACGTTTTTGTCTAATAAAGGCAGGCTTAATTGAATTGGCACGTCTAATGCAGCGCATATCTAGTCCTCTCAGGTCAGAGTTGTGAGCCAAGGAAGACCCTTATGATTGCCATTTGATAGGGGTCTTTGGCTGTAACGCCACCTTTATTCCCCAATGACTTAAGAGTGGAGGTGAATTGGTAGTGTGCTCTGCCAAGGGTCTCTGAACGGAGAGTCTTGTTCTCTGGCTCTCTTTAATTGCCATAACAGTAGATGCTCTGTCGCAGCCATCTCTGGTTGGTGTTGATTGAGGCAGTTCTTCACCGCTGATCTGAGACTGGTTTTATTTCGCAGCTGCAGTGTGAAGTTAAGGTCAGGTTAAAAAGCTACTCAACCAACTTTTTCAGGTTAACCCCAGTAGAGAGTTTGCCAGCCCACAGTTTATGGAGCTGTTCAGTCATCTCATAAATGCTTTTTTTCAAAAAAAATTTTATTTTGGTTCAGTGGGTTTCATACAAATTCTTGATGTGAGTAGGATATAGTTAATGAAGATGGGTGAAATATGTTTCCAGTTCCATCCTTACTAGTGACTCAAATGTCTATGCTGGTGTCTACACTGACCTGCCCTTTAAATGCTGATTCATGAAGTCATTATAAGTGACCATGCTAAAGGTTAGTCTGTTTACAGTAGAGGCATGTTTAGGGTGTTACAACAGGAATTGTCAGTTGATTAATCAAATTGCAAATTAGTATAATTTCAATATTGCATGCTTTATTTTATTTTTATTTTTGCATTTGATTTTTTTTTATTTTTAAGCATCTTGCTCCATGTTTTTTTAGATGGAATGCTAAGTTAAAAACGTATTAAGGCTCCTTCAATATGAACGACTCCTTGCTCATTCTATGCTGCCAGATCTTGGTGAATGTGGTTTGTCAGGTCAGAGAACATGATTAAATATGTACATTGTTTGTGTGTTATGTTTGAACGATTAGCTGTACTTATTTAACATGTTAAATTAACAGCCATATAGTTACGACCATACAAGTACTGTGGAGCTTTGAGTTGGAGAACAGAACCTGAATGGTTGTCTGCTCCACTTAAAATCCCCATTTATTTACATTTTCTAACCTCTTAATGAGTTTATGCACAATTTCCGCCATTAATTTAGAAACGTATTAAGGCTCCTTCAATATGAACGACTCCTTGCTCATTCTATGCTGCCAGATCTTGGTGAATGTGGTTTGTCAGGTCAGAGAACATGATTAAATATGTACATTGTGTGTTATGTTTGAATGATTAGCTGTACTTATTTAACATGTTAAATTAACAGCCATATAGTTACGACCATACAAGTACTGTGGAGCTTTGAGTTGGAGAACAGAACCTGAATGGTTGTCTGCTCCACTTAAAATCCCCATTTATTTTCATATTCTAACCTCTGAATGAGTTTATGCACAATTTCCGCCATTATTTTAGACTTCAGTGTGAAATTATTAACATCTATCAGAGATCTTAAATGTATAGCCATGTTATTGAAATCAAATTTAGATTAATGTTATCAGCATTAACTAGATGACATTCAAGAAGGGAATCAGTCAGAACCCAGATGCTGAACTGGTGAGTAATTGTTCATTGCTTCTTGCAACAGTGTCCAGTGTCCTTGACAAAACTACAAATACTTGCACCATGGTCAGTTAGCTGTTCCCATCTTTAGCTGTGTCCATAAACCAGTTCTATAGCAGTGGAGTGGGTTCAGAAAGCAGCTGCAGTTTTCTAATGGTGCCAGATTATCCGCCATTAATCTGCTGTAACCCTTCTGACATCTCAGGCAGAGACGTGTGCGAGTCAGCCTCAATAACAACCGAATGCCTCGCGAGGCTCTGCATTACTGGATTACTCAGTTAGGAATGGGGTTAATGTGGTGCACCAGCTAACTGGGAAATGCAGAGCGCTCACGTTTCCAACAGTTAAGTGGTGGGTGTGTAATGATTAAAGCATAGTATTGCTTGAATGCTCACAAGCAACACTTCACTCTGCAGTTAGGAGTTTAAATCTAGTTATTAACATGTACATTTACCATGGCATTTCATGCACATCATGCAGCATAAAGGGATAGATAACCCAAAAATGAAATTCACTCACTCTCATGCAGTGTCATTTTAGTGTCATTTATATACTATTGTAGTTTTTTTTTTTTTATATTTTAAATGTTTATATTTTGTCATTTTTTAAATGTCAATATATTTTAGTTTATTTTTTTAATTAAACAATTTCCCGTGGAAACTGACTAACATAAAAATGTTATTTATGTTAAATATTTATTACATGATATTTTTTAAATATTAAATTTTATTTCAGTAAAGTTTATTTTACTTCAAGTAGGCCTAACTAATATTTTTGTGTGTTTATTTGATTGTGAAATTTACTAGCAATTTCTGAGTGAAAATTGTTTCTAAATGTTGGTAATGCTTTTTTTACAATGTCCTTGTTACACATTATATGTAATTACTATAGTAATAACAATAAATTATGCATAATTACATGCAACAGACCCTAAAACAAACCCTCATTTTATCCCTAATTATAAAGTAAGTGCATTTAGGGAATTTGTATTATTCAATACTTAAATGTATGATTATACTGTAAATTGTAACCATTTTTTTTTTCAGCGTTTTAGTACATTATAATAACCCTGCCCTCATGTTACTCCAAACCTGTAAGACTTAATTTATGTTGTGTGGTGGTAATAGACATATTTTGAAAAATGTCTCTTTTTTTTAAACATAAAATGAAAGGTCTAATGTTGTTTTGACTTGCATTGTATGGGCAAATGTACAGTTAGATACTGTTGGACTTGTGGAGAAATTAATGAATTTGAAATTTGAAGGCACTTGCTCAATCCATTTCTCAAAGGAGAACAACATATTGTAGGTATTACCTTTGTTGTAAAGACTTCAGAAGAAGGTGGTTCCCAGAACTCAAGAGACTGTGTGGCAGCTGGCAGTGTTTTTGCTTGGCAAAGCTCTACATTACCAGCCTGTTGTGTTAAGTAGTTTCCATAGCATTTCAAGTTTATATTGCGATTGTGAATTGTGCATGCGCTGTGGGTAGTGAATGGCAAACCTAAACCAAAAGGATTTTCAATACCCAGTAGTCCAATGAAATAGAAAACAGGCTTTCTGGTAACTCAAACACAGGCGCACACGCACACACACCTGAGACAAATGACTCCCTGTTAAAGTAAAAATTTAGCCCAGTCCTTTTTCACTAAGCTCTTCTGGCTGTAATACTGTAGGCATTGAAGTTTGTTGTCAATCGACAAACAGTACCCTGCCAATGCCCGAAAGTTCAATGGGGGCTGTGTTTTTTTTTACTGAAAACTTTAAGACTTAAGAAGGAAAAAGACTTTGGGAAGTTGAAGATATTTTTTTTATGCAATACTACACAGTTTGTTTAAAGGGAAGTCTCTTCTGTAACCCTTCTGAAATAGAAGATTGCATGGTTAGGGTGTCCATGTTTTTGCTGTCAGCACACTTGAAAGGCAGTGCGACTGAATTGACAAGCAAGCAAGTCGATGCCTGTCTGATGTTTGTCGTGACGGACAGTGAGTGAACATTCCTAACCCAAACAGAGCTCCAATTTAAAGGGATCAGCAGCAGGGCCATGGAGTTCCTCTGTAGAACTGGGCCATAGCCTTTGATTTGTTTTGCTTTTTTTTC